CATAAATTAAAACTCCTTTTCCGAGTAACATATCCTTAAATTTTGAGGTCAAGGCATTTTCAAAAGATAGAAGTTGGATTAATTCAGCAGCATTTATAATCAAGTGTACTTTAGCATTTGTTCCTTCCTTAGCAATCAAAAAACTGAAAAACACAATAGCGTACAGTATCCAGACTCTCTGTGTATTTTCCATCTTTACGTGGCGTATTTATTTATCTAATATTACTTTATTTCTTTCACTTTTATTTATTTTTCTCTGAGACAGGGTTTCTCTGTGGAAACCTGCCTGCCTCTGCCTCTGGAGCAATCCTACCGGCGTGTGCCACCACACCCGGCTTTTGTATTTATTTACCACTTTGCCGTTTCATTTTCTCTCTCAATCTCACATATATTTTTAAACACACTGTAAACCTTTAAAAGTTTTGTTCATCCAAGTCTGACTTTACTGTAAATCTTTATGTTTTTCTGGCCACGTGTCTTATCTGTAAAACCGCGGCTGTTTTAAACTGCCGTTTCAAGATGGCGGGCGTAAGCGTGACTGCAGCTTACCTCCTCAGTCCATGCTGACCTCCAGCAAAAGCTGCCACTTCCAGCTGTACGTACACACCTTTCAATCGTTAGCAGAGTCTCTTAAAACAATCTTGCTGGTTTTTTTTTTTTTTTTATGCCGAGTCAGGAAGACTCCCGTAAGCGAGCCACGTGAATCTCGGCTTGTCGTTAGCAAAACAGAGCACACCTGAGAAAAATGCTGCTACCAAAAATCTGTGCTTCTCTCCGTTCTTCTGTTTCTAAAATTCCTTTAAAGCTTTTGTTGTTCTACGTGGAAATTCAATCCCACTCCTGACACCATTATGTTAAGAGAAGCTTTTTCCTTGCTAGCCGCTTTGGTTTATCCCCCGCCAGTCGCCTGGGCTCTGCCGCGCGAGCCTGTTTCGAGATCCGCATGAGTCCCAAATAAACACACAGGAGGCTATATTAATTATGAAGCTGTTGGCCTTGCTTGTCCCTTACTGGCTAGCTCTGCCTTAAGTATTTTGGGAATGGGAATAAGAGCTTTTGCGATCTGACTTGTTCCCACTTGGATCAACACACACACACACACACACAGAGAGAGAGAGAGAGAGAGAGAGAGAGAGAGAGAGAGAGAGAGAGAGAGAGAGAGAGAGAGAGAGAGAGAGAGAGAGAGAGAGAGAGAGAGAGAGAGAGAGAGAGAGAGAGAGAGAGAGAGAGAGAGAGAGAGAGAGAGAGAGAGAGAGAGAGAGAGAGAGAGAGAGAGAGATTAATTTTCAGGCACTAAAATGTTATACATAGGATGCAGTTGTGTTTGTGTGTTCAGCAAGTATTTTATTGAATTATTATAGATACTGTGATAAAATCTGGGGCTTACAAAGCATAAGGCAGGTGGGCTTGAAAATAGCAGGTAAAGGCTTTAAATAACTTAACATCTGATTAAGGTCATCAAATATAAGCACACAGAACATAATACTTTCAGATAATAGCTTGCATATTCATCACAAGACATTACAAGGGAGACCAAAGCTGTTTAAGACAATCTCTCACTACCAGTCCTTAAAGGGAAGCTGCCACGAAGAGTATAATTTTCAAACATATCTCTTAAAAAAGATTTTGTTTATTTATTTGGGTTCACGTACAGTGTGTGTGTGTGTGTGTGTGTGTGTGTGTGTGTGTGTGTGTAGGTTCATGCGTGTCACAGCATGCTTGTGGAGGTCACAGGCTGACCTGCAGGCATTGGTTGGTTCTCTTCTTCCATTGAGGTGGTTCAAGGCTCAGCTCAGGTTGTGTTGTTTGTCAGCACATGCTAAGAGAGAGCGTTCACTGCCGGTTTGCTTCTGAATGCTGAGGATCAGTGTGTTCCCCATGTGTATGGAAATGGAATGATATTATGGAAGACCATCTAGGACTACTTTCACACTATCCTTGTTAATGTTGCTGTCAGTTCCATCAACTTTCCAAGTTGTATATTATTTGATTTGAAGACTCTATAAACATTCCGTTGTACTGCTTTGATTTTGGGATGTCTCCTACATTTTGCCATGCTGTTTTTACTCATGGTGTTCTTGGACAGTTTTTGTGTGGATGTTGTGAGCATGGTTGCTCGAGTCTGTGCTTGTGTAGATAGGGAAATTCGAGTTAACCTCAACAGGCCCATATAACGTTGACATGCAGTGTCAGCACTCTGACTTCCCCCTAACCGTCTCTCTTTTATCGTGTTCCATGTGCTTGGGGTAAACTTCTCAGCTGGGTTTATTGCAAACACTAAGTGATGATTGTTATCATGTGTGCTGGCCAGTTTTATATCAGCTTGACACAGGTTTGAGTCATCTGAAAGGAGGGAAACTTAATTGAGGAAATGCCTCATAAGATCCTCCTTTGGGGAAATTTTCTTAGTGATTGATAGGGAAGGGCCTAGCCCACTGTGGATGGTACCATCCCTGGGCTGGTGGTTCTGGGTTCTGTAAGAAAGCAGGCTGAGTAAGCCAGTAAGCAGCTTCCCTCTATGGCCTCTACATCAGCTCCTGTCTCCAGGTTCCAGCCATGTCCGAGTTCCCGTCCTGGCTTCCTTTGATGATGAACAGTGATGTGGAAGTGTAAGATGAACAAACCCTTTCCTCCCCAATTTGCTTTTGGTCATAGTGTTTCATCACAGCCAATAGTGACCTTCATTAAGACATCATTACAACAGAATTATGATTATTATTTCTTTAAATTCTGAATTTTGATTAAGATTCATTATTGATTATTCAGTTCACTGGACTTCTTGGGTCAATTGCTTCTTATTCATTATTCTTTCCTTCTGATGAATTCTATATATTTAAGTACTTCTTTACTTTTTCAGCAAGAGCAAACTACTGTAGACAGATGGCAATTATTTTATCTGAATAGTGTCCTTATTTCCATAACAATTTTGACTTATAGAGCTGGCACGAGTGTAATTTATTGATTTTTATTCATTCTTATCACTTTGAACATGTTACATCATCACGGCCATGCACTTATTTTTATGTGTAGGTATCTTTTCTGATTGAATTTAGGACTGCCATTCTGTCTCTGATGTTCTGTAGTTTCATTTGGATGCATCTAAGTTTGAATTTTCTTGTATTTATCATATGATTTTGATGTGCTTTTCATTCTAGAAAATTTATATTCACTGTTTTTTCATATTGGTCTTTCTCTTTGGCACTTATAATTCTTTATTTTGCTTAGCATTTCTATGTATTTTTAATGGAATGGATTTAAGACCATAAATCTCTCACATTTCACAAAGGGAATGTTATACAATTTCATTTATTCTTTCATAAATTATGCTTTTGCCAACCCTGTTGTGTTCCATGGAACTAGGAGGGGCATGAGAAAATTCTGATGCTTTTCTATGAAGAGGCCTGCATTAATATTCTAAGGTTTATAGCATTGCCTATGAATATAGCCTATTCTTTGGTGTAGTTAAGGAAAATGGAGGGAAGTAGTCTTGTAAGACTTAAAGCCATTACTTAGAATATTGAAATGAAAAAAAAAAAAAAACAACTGCCGGGCGGTGGTGGCGCACGCCTTTAATCCCAGCACTTAGGAGGCAGAGGCAGGCGGATCTCTGTGAGTTCGAGGCCAGGCTGGACCGACAGCCTCCAAAACAATACAGAGAAACCATGTCTCGTAAAAACCAAAAAAAAAAAAAAAAAAAAAAACAACTGTGTGTTTCTCAACTATTACAACTTTAGGATGAATGAGAAAGTAGCCAAAATATGAGAAGAGGTGAATGACAATAATTTCATAGACTATCTGAGTAATGTTGGATGCTATAGAATCAGCCTCCCCAAACCAAAAGTTGGCATTATTTCTTAACAGTTATTATTTTGCAGGTGTTTTCACAGATCTCATTGACTAGTTTGTGGCAAATGTATAGCATATTTAGTGAGTGGGGAAGTTAACAAGTAAAGATTTGATTTGAAATATGAAGTTGTAGCTTTTGCTGTCTTGTGAGTTTCTCCTAAACAAAGGCTACATTCTTTCTGGATAAAAGGTGATTGTGCATTCGTAGGTGTGTACCACCCTCTCTTATGGGACAATAGCACTAAGCTGAACTCCTGGCCTGTGTACCTTTATATGAATGGAACAATCTTCTGGAAGTAAAAGTCCTTGTGGGGAGGTGGAAATCAGCTGTAGGAAAAAGATGCTAAAAGACTAAGAACATAAGATTGCATGTGTCGTCCTGATGTTTATATGCCACTCATTGCTGATGTGTTCACATCCCAAAAGGTTTGGCAATAGATATGGTGGAGTTTGTCTGATGCCAATCTGAGTGGTGTGCTCTTTTCCGTTTGTAACAGTGTCAGCCTGTTTTCCCTTTGCTAATAATACACTATAGCGTTTGAGGCAGTTGTAAAAATCAAACAGGTTTATTTGGTTATTGGTTCTGAAGGTGAAAGAAAGGTCAAAAGGCTACATCTGGCAATGGTGTTTTCAAGGCAGAACACCAAGGCCGGCAGATGTTCACACACAAGAGACTTACATATACATGAATGTATGCCTTTTACGGATGTTTTCACAGATCATACACCTTTACTAACACATATGCATGCACAAGCACACACACAGTCTTCTGTCATGACTGTTTCATCTCTTTCCTTCTCTCTATAAAGCCATCAGGATTCCAGAATTCAATCCCGAAGCCTTTAGCCTGGTAACCTTATTTGTGCCTAATGGTTTCTTAATGTCCTTCCCTTTAACAAGCTTCAGATTAAGTTTTCATTCTCTCATGCCTCGTGGTAGAAATTAAATTTTGACACATGAAGCACTGAGACACATTAAAACCATAGCTGTCTCTGGTTTGCTTTTGGGGCAGATATATGGTACAAGTTTCATCACTGGTGTGTTTAGCCAGCACCACATACCACAGCATATGGAAATTCTGTGAGAGACACGGGAAGAAAGCATTTGGTTTTTACTCTCAAACATCTCAGTATTCCCTTTTTATCTCTTCGTAGCTTTGAAGCACAGCAGAGAAGGGAAATCCACTGAGGACACTCTGTAAAGGTAAGTGTATTTATTACACAGCCTTGACAAACATTGCCTTTACCACATTGATTTCTCTTTTATTCAGAGATTTAAACACTTGGATTAAAGATACAGCTGACAGGACAACTTCCTTAACCACCTGCTCATCCCCCCAATAGGCAAAAGTGCTGAGCAATAGTGAGCAGAGGGCAGGGGGAAATAAAATGATGTGCTGAGGTAGCCAAATGCTATTGTGTGTGTGTGTGTGCTGACTTTTGCTTTCTTTTCAGCAGTTAAGACATTCCAATAGAGCTAAGGTTACTAAGATTAATGCTAGATGGAAAAATAATGCACTTTACCATTTCTGGTCAATATTTAAGTAAAACCAGCTGACCGAATAAAGCATTCAAAATAAAACGCAGAATGGCATTTCAGTTGGATTGGGTGGCAACCACCATGGAGGAGCTGGGGTTGTACCATGGAGCCCTCCTTCCAGTTTGGTGGGGCTACTTACATTTCATGAGGTCACACTGAATCCTAAGCAACAGGGAGTGAACTTCCAAGTTCAAAGCAATAGGAAAAAATACCAGTTCAGCCTGCTGTGAAACATTTTGGTTGAGTTGCTTTTTACATGGGAAAATGTGATTGTTTCCTCTTTGTAGGTATATTTATAAGCGCACCTCTGCACAGCGGTGTTCTTTGATTCATTGTTTAATTTCTGTTCTGCATGAAGTATTTTAATTTAGAGAATTCACTTGGAGGAATTATAGGGCTGTGCTTTCATCAGGAGGCTTTGGTGGCCAGGGTAAAATATGCTATAATTTTATGTTTGTTTTCATCATCAATTATGTTTTTGACAAATTTAGTTTTTTATGTCATTTTTATTATAGTAATTATGGCTGTGACCACTTTGGTTAAAGTTGAAAAGTGATTTTGATTTACTTTCTATTTTAAGATATTTCTAACTTTATGACCAATGAGTTTTTAATGTTCATTTTGAGAGTAAAGTATAGTTTTACAAAGAAATTGGAGAAAGATCTCTTTGGAATAGTTAAAACATTATCTATAAAAACTGGAGGTTTTGCTTTGGGGGTGATCAGGTTCTGGTGCATGAAGCCTGGCTGCCTTGGAATTTTGATACAACAGGTGGCTCTAGTGAAAAAATCATATGCAGATGAAGATGCTTCTTATTTTCATATTTCACCCATATCCCTGCAGCCCTGAGCCATTCCTGGAACATGGCAGGACTCCATTGCACTGGAGTTCTAGGATGATAAGGCCATTTTGAGGGCTTTACAGTTAGACGGTGCAGGGGTGATGCTTGCATTCCTGTGGAAGAGGGAGTGTTCTCATACCGTGCTCTTTGTTGAGTTAGTACCCTGGATTCAGACATGGGTTTGGTCCTGCTTAGGTTACTGGTCCATGAAAAAGCATTCATTCTCTTCCCATCTGTGAAATGGATATTATAAGGCACACTGTGCCTCATATGGTTGTTGTGAAGAGTATGTCCTGGTCCATGATAAACAGATGTTACCTGCTGCTGCTGCTGCTGTTGCTGTGGCTACTGTCACTTCCTCCTCCTCCTCGTCGTCATGAGCAATAACAGCCTTAAAATTTTATCAGACAGTTTAAAAAGTACATTCTTTTCATTTCTTTGTGTATTTATATGTGCATGTGTGTGCATGTGCATCTGCACATAAGTGTGTTAACGTGTGTATGTGTGCGTGTGTGTAGGACAGAGGTTGACACCAGGCATCTTCCACCATTGCTTTCTGACTTATGTTTTGAGACTTTCTCACTTAATCTGGAGCATACCAATTGGGCTAGATTGGCTAGCCAGCCAGTTGCAGGCATCTTCCTGTTTCTGCTTCTCCAGCGATGGGATTGCTTATGGTAGCCTTTTTGGGATCAGGTTCAGGGCCCTCTGCTTACACATCATGCCCTTTATGAATTGACCCATCTCTCCAGCCATGTCTTGCATGTATGTGTGTGCCTGAGTGTGGGTGTGTACACCTGAGTGCAGGTGCCTGTGGAAGACAGAAGTGTCAGATACCCCTGAAACTGGAGTTACAGGTAATTTTTAGCTGCCTGACCTGACCTGGGTAGTGGGAACTGCTGGACCTTCAGTAAGAGCAGCAAACACTGATTGCTAAGCACTGAGCCTGGTCACTGGTTCCTACTCCTGTTTTGTTTTGTTTTGAGACAGTTTCTCTGTGTAGCCCCTGGCTGTCCTCGAACTTGCTTTGTAGATCAGTCTGACTTCAAACTCACAGAGAACCACTTGCCTCTGCCTCCTGAATGCTGAGATAAAAGGAATGTGCCACCACACTGGGCTACCAGTTTTTAAAAAGATGTTTCAGGATTTTTCAAAATGAACAGGTTATTGCCAACAAAAAAGAGAGAACATCTTGATTTATCCTCAGGAATCAAATGAAAAGGTTACTTTTTATAGGTAATCAGGAATGGGTCTGGTAAGACCACTCAGCAGATAAAGGTGCTTGCTGCCAGTACTGATGATGGGAGTCAACACCAGCCTTCACATGGTGCAACGAGCACTAACTAGTTTTCCCTGACCTCTACTTGTATCTGGTGTCATGTGAAAACACAAATACATACACACAGACACACACACACACACACACACACACACACACACAGAGAGAGAGAGAGAGAGAGTAAATGTAATAAAAAAGAAATATGAGACACTTTCAGAAGAAAAAATAATCAGGGATAAGTTGTGTGGCAACAGGTAGATGGACCCTTTGGCTATGTATGGCCAGTTATTAATTACTTAGGAGTTATATTCTTAGGAATTAGTGATCCACTGCTGAAGAAAGCCTTGGGAAGTGTAGATAAATACTCTCCCCCATTTTCCCTTGCTCTGTGCCTTTTCTCTTCATTTACCTTTATTTTCTTTTGGGTGATGCTGCAGTCCCTCACTTAGGGTGGCTGCAGGCTCCTTGAAGTGTGTGCTTGTTCCTTGGGATTCAGATCTTTATCTAAAGCACTCTCCTCTGCAGCAGGTGGACGTTCTGGCCTGAGGATACTCAGGGGACCATAGCTACCAGTTCCTCTTAGTTAGTCTCCATATCTGCCTTGGCTCTTGATGCATTATTTAGCCTCCAGTTACCCTTCAGTAATCTAAAGTTAGCCAGTTTGTTTATCTTGCTTGCAATTTGAGAACCCGACATAATAGCTTGCATATTAGTGAACACGATTTTGAGTAAATGACTATATTTGGAGATTTACAATGAAGACAGCATTCATTACCTTCTTCCACTCTGTATAAGAACTGAATGTTTTACTGTAGATTTTCAAAACAGATCTCACAATGCAGTATTTTGGTGCACTCTCCAAGACCGCCATGCTTGATACAGAGATGTCCCCCTTGGACACCTTCTTTGAGGATGCCGGATGCTTGCATACACAACGAGAGAGATGGGAAAGGCACCTGTTTGATGTCTAGGGTCTTGGACTCCTTGTGGCCTAAGCTTGTCAGGGGCTGCAGTTTTCTTTCATTTACTCAGCATCTCAGAACAAAGCAATATTGTTAGTTTTTCACTTTTCTCTGAATTTTAATTTCTCTTTTCGAAGCAGTTTTTGTTTTTGTTCCATTGAACTGTTTGTTGAAGTGTAAAATGTGGTTGAAAACTTCATTGTTTGGGTTTTCTGAGAATGGAATGGGCAAGTTTTCCCTTATGTCTTTTTTGTTGCCTACTTCTTTGTTGTGTGCAGGTCCAGGAACTAAGGTGCTTAATGACTGACCTCCCAGGGACATCACCTTTGCTCCCTTGTTGTGACTAAGGAACATGGTTTCATTGCATGTTGGGAAGAGCCTTAGCTAAAGTGTTAGGAAGAATACCTTCTAGTTTTGTTCTGCAGCTTGCTAGCTTTGGACTCTGGGCAATAGTCCTGACTTTAAAGTTTATGTTTCTCATCTGTAGAATCAAAGTAACTAAGCCCATATGGTGCATAGGTCTCTTTAAGGATCACGTACTGATTATGAACATAGAAATGTTTTGCAAGCTAAAAAAGGGTATTGCTTTCTGCCACTCTCTCAATTTAATTCAACGTGTATTTTAAGGGATATGGTGTACCGGGGATAAAGTTAACTGTTGACTGTACTCTCTTAAGAACTGCGTATAGTTAGCTCAAGGTTTAAAAATTTAAGTTTTAGTAAGTAGAAAATAATCTGTATTAATCTTAGCATATGGAGACACATAACATCTTATATTATGAATTGTCCTTTGGCATTTAATGAAAACAGCATATCTACATTATTTAAATAGAATAGCATCAAGAAGAAAATAATGAAAAACTGCAGCATCCATTCCCTTGCTACCCATTTTCCTCTCCTCAGGTCTCCCGAAATTAACCACTGTCTATTCTGATACTATTGCTATTCCCTTTTCTGTCTCTAAATAAAAAAAAATATATATATATATATTACTTTTTCTAGTATGTGAATTCTAACAATAACTCTCTGACATTTCCTATTTCTACCACTTCTAGTTCCCACAGCCTTCTTATATCACAATTTTTGTTTAAATCTTTAGGCAATTATTACATTATCATAATGATGTATTTTTTCCACATTGACCCAGGAGGTATAGGCTAGTTGGTTATTTCTTTCAATATGTAAATTTTAATGTAGTTTATAATTAGTACATGGTTTCAAAAACATTTTCCTAAGTATCTACTAATACCATATAAAGAAGTGGATGGATTAGATGGATGTTTCCAGTTTATTGATATGGAAAGTAAGGCTTAAACCAAGCAGTTTGTCCAGAGCACAACTACTGTCAGATCTCTCTGTAAAATTAACAGTCCTAATCAAGACAGCTGTTATGCTAATCTGTAGGGCTAAGCTGGAAAGCAAGAGCATGCTTGTTTATGGAACCCAAGGTCCTAGCCAGATCCCTAGCTTAGAATGGGTTGCGTGGCCTACAGGTAGTGCTTACAGGGAGAGTCTGAGGAGTTCTGTTCTGTGTCCTGTCATTTCTTTATCATAGTTATGTTGATGATACTCACCAGCATCA